AACGTTTTCATTGTCGTTCACATTCACCGAAAACCGGCTTCTCTAACGCGTTGCGAAATTCCGAAAAACGCCTTTTCAAATGAATAGATAAAAGAAAAACGCGTTTAAACGACAAAAAAAGCGTTAGTTTTAAAACCTTTAACGCGTTTTGGTCATTAAAAAGGAAAAAAATAGCGCACTTGTTTTATCAATTTTTTACCCCTAAGATATAATAAATAAGATAATTCAATGTTTATCTGTACGAATGCATTGCTTGTGAATATATTCATCAACGTGTGTCATTTATAACCGATGACGATAAAAGATCACACCTTCATTTACAACAAAGACACTTGCGCAATTTGAAAGCCAAAATCCACACCATAATCAATAAAATACAATCTAACACAATTAAGTCGTTGTTAGCTGTAAAATTGAGACTTCCGGAACAAGTGAAGGTAGAATTATGAAGTTAGCTCTTTTTTTCTCTCTCAGTGAATGGGAGCGCCTCTTCTCCTAATAAGCTATAGCAGAAATTATTATGTGAATGCAACTTACGAACTGATCTTTATCAAATATTTCAACAATAATATTGGGTGGATCCTGTTGTATTTCTTCTGGTTCTCCAAATATTTCAATATTTGAAAAAATTAATGTTTGATCCCAAGTTGGACACAATGTGTTTTCTATCACTTCCGTTTGTTGACTTTGACTAACAAAACAAACTTGAGCAAATGGATCTAAGTAAAACATAAGATATCAAGAATCATTCTCTAAACCACTTCCCCCAATGTATGTTGGAAATGGTAATTGTACTGAAAAAAGTTCATTTTGAAAGAAACATGTTAGGCTTTTGGCGCTTTCTTGCAATTTTTCGAAAATCTCTATGAGTAAAATCTGTGTAGTTTTATAATGATTTTTTCTCAAAAAAAGAACATTTTTCGTAGCTCTGAGATTACTACACGAGTCTAAATAGTTGAGAGCTCATTCTTTTATTTAATAATATAGAAGCTTTCAACTGACATTAGAGTCATAATTAGCTGGAAAAACTGACAAGGAACATGATGTATATATGAGTGAATTGCATAACCATTGTACCATTTGAGAAAAAAAACATAATAATAAAAAGTTTCAAATAAACAAAATCGGAGTCGTACGTGTGATAAAGCTATATCGATTGTATATGTAAACATAATATTTTCCTGATACTTTAGAGTTTGAGAAGGCTTCGATACAATGATTTTGAAGAACTACTCAATCCGTCGTGCTAGGTATCTCCACACAGGTTCGCCCGCTTTATACAAAAGTTTCAACAGGGCGAATCTTACTATGCTCATCAGATAGAGCATATTAAGTTACATATAAATCGATATTTTTTTATTGAAAAAGATTAGCCCTTTGGTGGTGAAACATCGCTTTCAAAAGTACCAAGCGATAGCACTATGGTCTTTAGAAAAACGGTATTTTCGAGGGAAAAAACGCTTATCGGTTTCTTAAAATAAAAGACAACGTATATACTTAATAAGCTTTTTGTGATGTCAGGCGAATAGCCCGGATGTCAACAAATCGTGTGATGTACGATGAGTTGGAATTTTAAGTTATTTTGATCGAAATATAGACAAGACAATCTCGGTGGAC